CTATTAGGAGTGAGACCCACTTCTCATCTTTGAGGCGGGAAGATAAGCCTGTAGTGTGACCACACCTCCTGCTGGCAGCCTATGAAAGGACCTGGAAGAAGTTGTCGCCCTCGCTAGTGAGTCTGTCCCTCCACTGGCACAGCGCCCGCTTGTTTGGCATTCTGGTGTATACTGGAGACAGCTGAGATGTCCAGCCTCACAGACTGAACAAACTTCTGGGTTCTTGGACCTTCCAGTCACAGACAGCCATTGTTGGATTAGCAGAACTGCAATCTGCAAGGCAGTCTAACAAATCCCCATGTGGGGCAGGAGAAATGGCCCAGTGGTTAAGGGCACTGACTGCTCTTTCGAAAGACCCGGGTTCAGTTCCCAGCACCCACATGGCCCCTAACAACTGTCTGTAACTCCAAGGTCTGACACCCTCACACAGACACATATGCAGGCAAAACATCAATGCACATAAAAGAAAAATAAGTTATTTTTAAAATCCCCATATAGAACCGGGCGTTGGTGGCGCACGCCTTTAATCCCAGCACTTGGGAGGCAGAGGCAGGCGGATCTCTGTGAGTTCGAGGCCAGCCTGGTCTACAGAGCAGGTTCCAGGACAGCCTCCAAAACAATAGAGAAACCCTGTCTCGAAAAACCAAAAAAAAAAAAAATCCCCATATAGAGAGATATTGGGAGGGGGCTCATTCTATAAGTTCTACTACTCTGGACCCTGGCAAACACAAACTTTGGTACCAGAAATGGTTTTAAAGCAAGCCAGTAAGCAGCACCCTCCATGGCCTCTGCATCAGCTCCTGCCTCCAGGTCCCTGCCCTGTCTGAGTTCCTGCCCCGACTCCCTTCAGTGACGGACTACAGTGTGGAAGTGTGAGTCAAACAAACCCTTTCTCCCTCAAGTTGCTTTGGTCATGGTGTTTCATCAGAGCAATAGTCACCCTCGCTGAGGCACCACGCAAGAGTGGAAACCTGAATTTGGATCCCTCTCACCCATGCAAGTGCCAGGTTGGATGGCCAGCACCTGCCACTTCAGGGCTGGTTGGCAGAGCAGGCCGATCCCTGGAGCTAGCCGGCTAGGCAGTACAGTCTACGGATGGGCATCAGGTCCAGGGAGAGACCCTGCCTAAAATTAATAATGATAATAATAATGAAAGAAAGAATGCCCACTGCCCTTGCAGAGCAGAGTTCAGTGCCCAGAACCCACACTGCAGCTGAAAGCCACCCGAAGCTCTAGTTCAAGGGATTTCATGCCATCTTCTGACCTCTGAGGCTACCTCCGGGCACACAGTATGCATAAACTCACGCTTGCACATGCAAACAAAAGGTAATAAAAGCTAAGATTAAGGGTTTCCTTCCTTGGAGCCTCCTCCCACTCTCCAGAGTTTCTTCCTCCCTCTCTCCCCCTTTCCCTCCCTCCCTCCTCCTTGCTCTCTGTCTTTCTTCTTTTAAGTTTATCAAGACAGGGTTTCTCTGTGTAGCTCTGGCTATCCTGGAACTCGCTCTGTAGACCAGGCTGGCCTCAAACTCCGAGATCCGCCTGCCTCTGCCTCCCAAGTGCTGGGGTTAAAGGCGTGCGCCACCATGCCTGTTTCTTTAGCGATATCTCTTACTTTTCCTTAATAAATCTACCTTCCCTGTGCACAATAAATAAATAAATAGGACCGGCAAGATGGCTCAGTAGTTAAGCAGTATTGCCAAGCAAGCCAGGTGACCTGAGTTTGGTCCCCCAGCACAGCGTAAAGGCGGAAGGAGAGAACTGAGTCCAGAGTTGTCCTGTGACCTCCACACTCCAGCCGTAGTAACTGTGTCCACCCATCATACACACAACAAGAAATGAATGAATACTTACAAACAAACAAGGCAGTAAGGCAAGCAGCATTAGAGGAGATAGCCAACACTGACCCTTGACCTCCACATAGGCATGCTCAAGCAGGCTCACCCACACATGCACACTCCACAGCCACCACACACACCCCCAAAAAAGAAAAGGAAAAAAGTGTGCATATCTGAAAAAGAATCTAATGTTTTAGGTAAGCTTAAAAATTTTGTGTTGGGCCGGGCGTTGGTGGTGCACGCCTTTAATCCCAGCACTCGGGAGGCAGAGGCAGGCGGATCTCTGTGAGTTCGAGACCAGCCTGGACTACCAAGCGAGTTCCAGGACAGCCTCCAAAGCCACAGAGAAACCCTGTCTTGAAAAACCAAAAAAAAAAAAATTTTTGTGTTGGGCCGGGCGTTGGTGGTGCACGCCTTTAATCCCAGCACTTGGGAGGCAGAGGCAGGCGGATCTCTGTGAGTTCGAGGCCAGCCTGGTCTACAAAGTGAGTTCCAGGACAGCCTCCAAAGCCACAGAGAAACCCTGTCTCGAAAAACTAAAAAAAAAAAAATTTGTGTTGGGAGCATTAGCAGCTATCCTCGGCCGCCTGCAGCCACTTGTGGCCAGGGGGCTGCGGGTTGACCACGCCTGGAGATGGGACGTTCCCTGGGGAAGGAGATGGGCACTCGGTTGCCCACACGCCCTGCAGAGAAGACCCAGCGTGTGCATCTTGGGAAGCACAGCTCCATAATCCCTGAAAAAACGCAGCACACCCAGACCAGATTGGGGAGACTACAGACCAGCCCCGAAGACATCCAGCACGGACTCCACCAGCCCCAGCAGGGAGACTGCACAGCCACAGACGTTAGCCAGGTAGAACATGAGACCGATGCTGCCGCCAACCTCCGGCCCCAGGGTCCTGCTGATCATGACTGCAAGTGGAAGCGGGAGTTGAGCGTTAAGGGAAAAGAAACCGAAACGGAGGAAGGGGCCACAAGTCGGTCTTCCCGCAGCTTCAGCTCCAGGTTCCCTGCAAAACTCGCCTTGGTTCTCAGCAGCAGTGTGCCATGCCTTGCAACCTTGCATAAATCGTAAGAATTCCCCCACTCCTGCGATTACCCCTGCTCTCCTTTCACTCTTTATTTTGTTTTGTTTTTTGAGACAGGGTCTCAAGTAGCCCAGGCTGACTTCCAACTCACTATGTAGCCTGGGATAACCTCAAACTCCTTATCCCCCTTCCTCCATCTCCCCAGTCCTAGGGATTAGAGGCATGCATCCGTTAGTTGTCCAGGCTGGCCTTAAAATCACTCCGTAGCCCAGGACGGTGATGGACTTTCAATCCTCCAGCACCCATCTCTCGGGTATTCAGGGTGACAGGCCTGCATTTCCACACCTGGCATCTGCTTTGCTCATCTATAGTGACTACCCGGGAGCAGGCCAGGAACGGAACCCGGGACCCCAGGCACGCTAGGCAAGCACTCTACCACTGAGCTGCAGCTCTGCTGATAACCGTGTTGGGACACCAGACAGCGGCACTAAGATGGAGACAGTGTCGGTCACCTTTGCCACCTCACCCTGCTGCTCACCATTCATTCCCGCTTGGCCTGTCTTCAGGAGACACTGGCCCCTCCCCTCCCCAGTCCTGGCAGACAGAACAACCCAGACCCAGTCCACCTATGTTGGAGGATACAGTAGGCTCCGCCCCCTCTCACAGCTCCATTGGTGGCAATGGCACAGACCGAGAGGACCGTGAGTGCCAGAATGATGTAGGCAACTAGGAGCATGGCTAAGGCCTGCAGCAGCCCAGCATGGCCCACCACGAAGCCTGAAAGGGGAGAAAAGCGGGTCACGGGGGACAGTTATATTCCTTTTCCCCACGTTCATCCCCCTGGGTAGCAGAGTCCCACAAGGCCATGAGGGGTCTTTTCCTCCCACCCCCATCTGTCCGCATCTGCCAAGGACCCCCCTAGCTTCGGCCCGTCCCCGTCCATCCTTCCTCTGCTCACCAATCCTCAGGAACACAACTATACTAAACATGGACAGGACCGTGGGGACCACCACACCCAGGAAGGTGGAGAGCTTTCGCGTTGATGCCACGCCAGATCCTCCAGCTCCATTGGGAGGGAAGGCAGCCCCCTCTTCCCCCAGAAGCCTGTAGGCCAGCAGAGGGGAGCTCTCGTTGGCCATAGCTGAGGGTGGGCAGAGGAAGCCTCCAAAGGGCTACGCGACCTGTAAAAGAGATTTTAGGGGCTGGAAAGCAATTTCACAGAGCCGTTCCTCCTAAAAAAAATCCTAATCAAACACTCAGCTTCCTCAAAAGGAGAGTTTTGTGTGCGTGCACACACACAGACACACACACACACACGGTACAGAAACTCAAAACTGTCCAGCAACTTCCCCCACACTCTCGGACCCGGTGTATAAGAATGAGGGCCCCTTTCAGCTCTTAGGGACCGTGCCTTCCTCTATGCCCATAAAACTAGGGGCAGCAGGGGCTCTGTCAAACGCTGATGCCCCTGTCAAACCGGGTCTCTCCTTAACCAGCAACAGGAGAGGAAGCAGATCTCCCCAAAGGGAAGTTAGAGACTAGCAGTAAGCGCCTCCTGCCAAGTCCTAAGCTGCTCCTCTGGAGTACAGCATCTCACACATGGGCAATAAGAAACTTTAAATCTCTCAAAGCTCCACCCTCCATCACCCTTGTCTCTCAACCCATCTCAATCCTTACCAGATTTTTCCAATCCCTACGAGGAGCACCCCCAAACTCTATCAATCCAAACAAAGCCATCGACTGTCCAAACACACACGCAGGTCGCCTGGCATCGCGCCACACGGGGTCCCCAGGGTCCTCCTCCCCCACCCACCCGTTCCTGTCCACTTGCTCCAGTAACTGGATGCCTGGGGGCCTGGGATCTGGCTCCGGCCGGCCAGGCGCACCCTGCAGCTGGGTGCGGCAGGGTGCTCACTCACCACCTTATGAACGCAGCTGCTCCGGGGTGATCCCCGGCGCGCCTGGGGGCTCCTCTACGCACTGAGGGGCTGAGGGAGCCGGAAAAGGCAAGCGGGCTACCGGGATGTCAGGCCCGGAGCCTGCCCTCCCCAGCAAGGCGTCCCATTGGTCCCGGATCAAGCCCCGCCCCGAAGGCGTGGTCCCCGCGCAAGCCCCGCCCACATTCTCCCAAGCTGCCTGTGCCAACCACACTGCTCCACGTGCGTCCCGGGTGTCATCTGCAAGGCAGTGGGTCACGATCCCCAGGACCCCCGTTACCACGATGCTAGCAGATGCCCACGGTGCGGATCTGACTCTTCTCCGAGCTCCGAGGAGCCCCCGGGAGTACCTGAAAGGGGCGTGTGGCGGCTGCGGAAAAGTGGCCTGGAGTGGGCGGGACCGCGGCACCTGACTCAGGTGTGTGGCCGGGAACTGCGGGCGGCGTGGGGCGGCGCCTTCGGGAGTCGTACTCTTCCAGTCTCTCCAGAGACCGAGAATGTTCTCGGGGTCCCAGCCGCGTCCCTTTCTAGCCCAGGGAAGACCCTCCTCGCCCAGTTTCCGCCCGCGGGCTGCGCTCTTCCTTTCGGCCACCGGAGGGAGCCTTGAGCCCCCATCCAGGCGCAGGTCCTGGTGGATTTGCTGCTGGCAACCCTGCCTGCTTTTGTGCCTGTCGGCGAAGATCGTAAAACTGTGAACCCAGCTCTTAAATTGGTGTCCTTTCCCAGCCCTTACAGGTCTCACTAACGGCGTTTCCTCGTCTATAAAACGGGACTTAACTAAAACACCCCTCCTAAAAGACCAGTTGAGAGATGACCTAATCGTGTGCACTCCTTTTTGTGTGTGAGGGGGACCGGCTAGCCCTCTCGATTCGCTTAGTAGCTGATCCTCCTGCCCCCACCTCCCCTGTATTGGGATTACAGTGAGGAACACAGCCTGATGTTAACAGTTTCCTAAAAGAGCACTGTCGTCGTCGTGTCCCCCCCCCCCCCGTTAAACACACCGCCTCAGGCACAGCGAGTGCTCTACCAATGGATCACATGCACAGCCTTAACATATCGACTCTTTAGTCCAGTGCATACATGTTCAGTGATTTCACACACACAAAGAACTGTATTAGATTTACATAACTGCTCTGTGAATGGATGCTGCTACTATTGTGGTTTTACTAGGGAACTGAAGACCGGCTTAAAACATTTTTTAAAGATTTTTTTTAATGTTATGTTTTGTCTTCATGCATGTATGTGCACCGTGTGTGTGCCTGGTGCCCACGGTAGTTAGAAGAGGGCACTGGATCCCCTGGGACTGGAGTTATGGGTGTCTGAGCCACCATGTAGATGCTGGGAACCAAGCCTGGGTCCTCTACAAGAGCAAGTGCTCCCAACAAGTCTTTTAAATCACATCTGTTTGTTTATTTACTTACTTTAACACATCTGAACTTTCATGGACAGCTTTATAGTAACCCTCATATTTGGGCCTCCAGAAATGAACACGGTTGAGTCTGACATTTCCATAGGAGAGGCTGGGGCTTACACCTGCCAAAAGCGCTTGTCATGCAAGCATGGGGACCTGAGTTCCCATCCCAGAACCCACGCAGCAAAGCCAGGCACTGGGGAAGCAGACAGGAACATTGCAGGGGCTCAGCTTAGCTGCACTGGTAAGGTCCAGGTCCAGTGAGAGACCCAAAGTAACTGAGGAGACACCAACCCTGACCTCTGGGTTCCCACATGTGTGTGGACATCTGTGGGCACAAACTCGAACACTCGGTGCGGCTCTATCAGGGAGAAATTTGGCATCTCCAGAGTCATCTGTTATCCATGTTTCACTCACGAGTTTTAGAGATTTTGTGAAAATTTTTTAAAGAGTTGCCATGGTGATGGCGTCTTTTTTTAAAAAATTATTTAGTATGTATACAGTGTTCTGCCTGCATGTATCCCTGCAGGCCAGAAGAGGGCACCAGATCTCATTACAGATGGTTGTGAGCCACCATGTGGGGTGCTGGGAATTGAACTCAGGACCTCTGGAAGAGAAGCCAGTGCTCTTAACCTCTGAGCCATCTCTCCAGCCCGAGATTTTGTGAAATTTCTATGAGCTGGGTTGTGGCTCCCTCCACTCTGCACATGTACTCCAATAAAAGCCATGCTACACACACACTTGTATGGTTGTTTGAGACAGGTTTTTTTTTTTTTTTTTTTTTTTTTTTGGTTTTACGAGACAGGGTTTCTCTGTATTGTTTTGGAGGCTGTCAGTCCAGCCCGGCTTCGAACTCACAGAGATCCTCCTGTCTCTGTCTCTGCCTCCCGAGTGCGGGGATTAAAGGCGTGTGCCACCACCGCCCAAGACAGGCTCTTAAATGACCCAGGCTGCATAGCTGAGGATGACCTTGAATTCCTGACCTTCCTGCTTCTACTTCCCAGGTGCTGGAATTACAGGTATTTCACCACCAGGCCTGCCTTACTCTTTCTTGGTTATGGTTTTGGGGTTTTGTTTTGTTTCAAGGCAGGGTTTCTCTGTATAGCTCTGGCTGTCCTGGAACTTGCTTTGTAGACCAGAGTGGCGTGGAATCCAGAGGTCTGCTCACCTCTGCCTCCCACGTGCTGGGATGAAAGGTGTGTGCAAGACACCACACCCAGAGCTCTTGTTTGTGCTTTAAGTGTGGTTTTGTTCGTTTGGGGGACTTGGTTCCATGCAACCCAGGCTGGTCTTGAACTCCTGACCCTCTTGCCTGCACTCAATCTCAGAGGTGTAAATACTACATGGATGATAGCACTAAGGTGTCTCCTCGGCTTGGACCTCTAAGCTTCACTTTCAGACTGTGTGTCTATCACCACAGGAACCCTCACCCCACAAATGTCTTCAGTAAGCCACCCAGAACCAACTCCAGTGTCAGACAGACACTATCAGGGAAGATTCACCACCCTTTCCTAAGGCACCTCTCTCCCTGGAAGGGGAAGTAAATAAACTACAGAGGCATGGTGCCACATTCCTGTAATCCCCCATTCATTTGAAAGGGTTTTGTTTTGTTTTCTTTTTTTGTTTTGTTTTTTTTTTTTTTTCGAGACAGGGTTTCTCTGTGGCTTTGGAGGCTCTCCTGGAACTCGCTTGGTAGTCCAGGCTGGTCTCGAACTCACAGAGATCCGCCTGCCTCTGCCTCCCGAGTGCTGGGATTAAAGGCGTGCGCCACCAACGCCAGGCTTGTTTTGTTTTTATAAGACAGGGTCTCGGGCAGTGGTGGCATATGCCTTTAATCCCAGCACTTGGGAGGCAGAGACAGGCGGATCTCTGTGAGTTTGAGGCCAGCCTGGTCTACAGAGCTAGTTCCAGGAAGGCCTCCAAAACAATACAGAGAAACCCTGTCTCGAAAAACCAAAACAAAACAAACAAAAAAAAAAGACAGGGTCTCACCACATAGCCTCTGGCTGGCCTGGAACTCACTATGCAGATGAGGCTGTCCGTGAACTAGAGATCTACCTGCTTGGCCTCCTGGGCGGTAGGATTAAAGGCCTGCACCTACACATCTGGCTTAGCTTCCTTTTATTTGACTTGACAATCAGAGCCGCTGGGGGAAGCCCACAGCTGGGCAATCTGATGCTCGTGGCAGTCTCCTTGCTGGAGATAACACTTCCGTGGGTCCTGGTGATAACAGCTGTGGAGGAGGAGGCCTTGCAGGGCTTGTTAAGGGCTGCTCGGTACAAACGAAGACGCTTCTCTAGGGCTAGCAAATGTCCCCAGGGGTGGCTGGAGCGGATGAGAAGTCTAGGCCTCTGGATTCTGTTTCTTTTCTCATTGCTATAACAAAGGCGACCTAAGAAGGAAGAGTTTATTGTGGCTCGAGGCTGGGTCCTGTGGCCTCCACAGTCAGGAAGCAGAGTGCCATGAACGCTGGTTGGTGCTCAGCTCGATTCTTTTTACTTAGTCCCCAGCCAGGTGTGAGGCCAGGGGACAGTGAGGATGTGTCTCCCCACCGGAGCCCTGGCAAACTTGCCCAGAGGTTTGTCCTTTTGATGACTCTGGGTCCTGTCGAGTTGACAACGAAGATGAGCAGTCACATCGGATGGCCCTGTCCTGCTTCTGTCGACTTTGTGCCTTAACCTTCGGGCAAATTCCGCTCCAGTTCCCACGCTGGCAGGTTGAGAAATGCTTTGTCTGGGACTGGAGAGATAGCCCAGCAGTTAAGGACTCTTGCTGCTTTTGCTGAGGACCCAGGTTCGGGTCCAGTAGCCACATGGTGACTCACAATCGCCTGCAACTCCAGTTCCGGGGGACCCGATGCCCTCTCCTGACCTCTTGGGCACCATGCATGCAGGCAAAGCACTCATACACGTGAATAAATACATAAATACATCTGAAAGCGAGAGAGAGAGAGAGAGAGAGAGAGAGAGAGAGATGCTTTGTCCGATGCTACAAGCTTCCTAGTCTCTTCCCCTTTCAGAATTAAGACGCACACCAGCCTCAAACCGGGCGTGGCGTCTCATCTCAGCACAGACAAGGCAGAAGCGGGTGGACCCCAAGTTCAAGGACAGCCTGGGCTACGTAGCCAGACCCGGCTCAAATAAATGAAAGCCCACATGCCTTCAGACCTCAGCGGCAGACACCCTCCGACTCCCCTAGCCCACGCCCACGGCTCTGCTCGTCACGTGACAGGGAAGGGACAATGGCGGCGCCCGGGCTGGCTTCAGAAAGAGGGCAACCAACGAGAGGACGCTGCCGCGCCAGAGCGTCCACACCGGCGCCGTTCCTGCGGCCGTCGGCCGGGAAGGCGGGAATTCTGGGTCTACGCGCGGGACCTTCTCGCGGTTTTTTGAAAGAGATAGAGAGCCGGGAAAGAAAAATAAATAAATAAATAAAAAACCCTACCTAAACCCCAGAGGCGGCATGACCCGATCTACCTGGGACCTCCCGGGGTCCGGGGCAGGAGGACGAAGTCGTGGCGCTCGTTCCGTAACTGCTTTTCCAAACCCTTTGTGTCAGCCCAGCCTCTCTCTCTCTGTCTCTCTGTCTCTGTCTCTCTCTCTCTCTCTCTCTCTCTCTCTCTCTCTCACACACACACACACACACACACACACACACACACACACACACACACACACACGATCTGTCCTTCCCTTTGCCGATCTTCAGGAAGTCCAATCAACCAGGGAGCCCTGAACGAGACCTCAGATGACTCCCTGGCGAGGCCCCCAGTCCTCCCTCCCTCCCCGGAGCCCGGCGATTCTGCCCCACACCCCCACCACGACCGTGTGCGGGTCCCTAGGGCAGATGAGCCCTTGGCCACCACCCCTCCAATTTCCTGAAAAACCCAGCAAACAAAAGGCTCGGGAAGGGAGGCGAAACTGAGCGGGGCGCCCTTCCTGCAGGACAGCTGATGGAGCAAAAAAAAAAAAAAAAAAAGTCCGGGAGAGATGACATTCCAGGCTTCCTCCAGGGGCCCCCTGGGTCCTGGGGAGGAGGGACAGCATCAAGGGCCGGGGACACCTGAATGGGCAAGCTGCCCCGGTGGGGTGATGTCAACCTTAGGGAATGGAGGGGGTGGGGGCAATCTTGGGGTTCAGGTGCCCTGTCGGACTCCCAGGCGTGAATAGTGGGGGCTGGGGAGACGCCTGAAGCCCTGCGTCATCTCCTCCGGGACCCAGCCCTACCTCCCCCCCCCCCCGCCCGACCTGCTACCCTCCGTGGTGGCCCCACCCGAGGCCTGGCTTCCTGCTCCTCCCCAACACATATCTTACCCTGCCGAGCTGACCTAGGCTGCTCTGGTTCTTTGGGTCCGTCTAGGACTCTGGTAACCTGGGCCCTCAACCCTGGTAGTTTTCCTGGTCCCCACAAGGGCTAGTCTCCCGCCTGCCCCTGCCCCCGCCCCCTTTCCCATCAGCGACACAATGGTAAGGGAAGAGCAGTCTAATGGTTGGGGCCGGAGATACTGGCTTGGGAGGTTGGGGGGCTTGGCCTCACATCCTGTCAGGCTGCCAAGGGAAGAGTGGAAACAAAAGGCTTCCCCTGCGGGGACAATGAACCTTCCACTGACTCTCCACCTTTCCACTCCCCCAACCTAAACTCTCCCAGCTTCCCCTCTCTACTCCATGCCTGCCCCCAGCAAGCTTTAGCCTACCCTTCCTTTCTTCTCCACTAAGTTCCGACAGGTTTGCTTCTCTCTACCCCCAACAAGGTATCCCAGCAAGGCAGAGGGGCTTTCCCGCGGTGCTAAAGGGTAAACTGCACTCTTGGTTTATTTTTCAATACTACTCTGTAGCCCTGGCTGTCCTGGAACTCTCTGTAGACCAGACTGGCCTTGAACTCACAGAGATCCGCCTGCTTCTGTCTCCTGAGTGCTCAGATTAAAGGCGTGCGCCACCATGCCAGGCTTACCAGCGTCTTTTATCAGTGAGTGGGAAGTGTTAGTTTAGGGCTGGTAATGTGGCCCTACATGTGTTGGTGCATGCCTGGAATCCCAGCCCTGAAGCAGAGGCGAGAGGAGCCAGAGTTCAAGATCATCCTCGCATACTTAGGCGTTGGAGGCCAGCCTGGGCTACATGAGTGCCTGTCTCAAAAAGAGAAGTAAAAAGAAAAGGTGTTGCCCCAGCAAAAGAATGCCCCCCTCCACCTGGGCAGGACTCTGTGGATCAGGAGGAGGGTCTGAGGGCCGCTCTTAGCACTCACCAGTGCCCACACCAGGGAGCAGCCCCACAGGCCTCCAGGGTGTTTTCTTTCACCATCTCTCAGCTTCCAGAGGAGCACTAGAAGCAGTGACTACAGAAGTGTGCTCGCAATCTGGCTTTCCATGTGGGCTCTGGGGATTTGAACTTGGGTCCTCATGCTTTACCCACTAAGCCGTCTTCAAGCCCGCTCTTACCCTTTGCATTTATATCGTGTTCTGACGTAGGGTCTCATGGAGCACAGACTGCCTTTGAACTCAGCATATGCACCAGGGTGATCTTGAACTCAGCATACACACCAGGGTGATCTTGAACTTGACCCTTCCTGCCTCTGCCTCCCAAGTGCTGGAATTACCAGAGCCTGTCTTTTCATTCATTCGTTTGTTTATCAAGACAAGAGTTTCACCCTTTAGCTAGGCTGGCCTTGAACTCTCGACAGCCCTCCTGCCTTGGCCTCCCATTGCCGGCATTAAAGACTTAGGTCACCACTGCCGGCTTCCTGCAGTCTTCTGTGTTGTTTCTGAGGCAGTCTCAGGTGTCTCAGGCTGGCTTATGGGGTGCTGGGGTTCGAAGCACAGCTGTGCCTGGTACCCGTGTCCTTTGTGGGCTGATTTCCCATCTTTTCGTTTTCTATGGTTTATTTTTGTTTTACGAGCACTGGCGTGTCACATACATGTATGTCTGTGTGAGGGTGTTGGGTCTCCTGGAACTGGAGTTGTAGAAAGGGGTTAGCTGCCACGTGGAAAGTTGTGAGCTGCTGTGTGGGTGCCAGGGATTGAACCCAGGTCCTCTGGAAGATCAGCCAGTGAGGGTTCTTAACTGCTGAGCCCATCTCTCCAGCGCCCATCCACGTTCTTTTAAGTGTGGTCACAAATCTCTCTAAAACACTTAAGGGTCAGCATTACGTTATCCATGTATTAACAACAATTTCCCCTAGTGAGAAGCGGGATTATTAGATACCATGGTGAAGTCTGAAAAGCTGTCTGTTCCAAGCGAGGGCAAAGCGATCATACAAGTTAGAAACTAAGAAGTCACTAAGAGCCGGGCGTTGGTGGCGCACACCTTTAATCCCAGCACTCGGGAGGCAGAGGCAGGCGGATCTCTGTGAGTTCGAGACCAGCCTGGTCTACAGAACGAGTTCCAGGACAGTCTCCAAAGCCACAGAGAAACCCTGTCTAGGAAAAAAAAAGAAAAAAAAAGAAGTCACTATGAGCTGAAGAGACAACTCCGTGGTTAGAGAGCCGCTGACCCTGGTCCTCTGCTAGAGCGATAAGTGGTCTTAACCACCAACCATCGCTCCAGACTCATAGTCTTTCTTTGAACAAAAGAATATACTAAGCTGGGCGGCAGAGGCGTCCCCATCTACAGTGAAAGTTCCAGGATGGGCCAGAGCAATACAGGAGGACGCAGAGGCAAGCAGATCTGTCTACATCGTGAGCTCCAGGCCAGTCAGGGCTACATAGTGAGACCCTACCCCAAACAATATTTTTAAAAAGGAGATGATTGCCAAGGTCTAATACAGCATGATAAGATTTTATCAAGTCTTCAGTCATTTTTTTCCTTATCAAAAGGTACAGCATGGGTTGGGGGCCACTAACTTATTTCGTTCTTTGTAATGGTCTGTCTGTTTGAGTTCTACAACATTTTTCTTACCTGGGGTGATCTCGTGGGGACTCTGATCAGCTTAGCGGGGCCAACTGGAGATAATTAGGTTGGGCAGCATTTGTTCCTTTAGGCTACACGTATTGTAGCCATAGCTGGTGTCTCCGCATAGACCACATCTGGCCCCATTTGGACAATCTCAATCCCCCTCCCTGCAAAAAAATGTGCACAGTACACCCAGGAGAGCTGTCCGCTGCTATTTTAAGTATAATCCCTTTAAACTGTGTTGTTTTCTATCTGTATCTGCCAACCGATGTTTAATTGCCTCTTATACTCCAGAGGCCACTGGGAACCTGCTTCCAGCATTCGCCCAAGCCCAAAGATTTTTTTAGGAGAAGACCAAGAAATCCACAATGTTTTGTTTGTTTGTTTTTTTCAAGACAGGATTTCTCTGTGGCTTTGGAGGCTGTCCTGGAACTCGCTCTTGTAGACCAGGCTGGTCTCGAACTCGGCGATCTGCCTGCCTCTGCCTCCCGAGTGCTGGGATTAAAGGCGTGCGCCGCCACTTTGCCCAGCCAAAATGCACAGTTTTACATGAGGTTTTCAGTCACATCATCACCACAGTCGTTCCTGACCACACTCCACTAGGGGCAACCCCCCACCTCGCCATCCCTCTCCCCTCCCCCAACCTCATCCCCCCACCCTTGGGGATAAAATTAGCTGTACCTGTTTTCCTGTGATTTTTCACCCCTTGGTAAGCTGCTAGTCAGGTCCGAGTCCGTGCCAGGACTCACCAGGGTGACATTTGCTCTGCTGCCAATTTGACCCCTAGAGACTCAAGCTCCATGCAAATCTACCCATGTTTGCCTCCTAGGGACAGAGGGTCCCTGCTTGGCTTACTTTCTTTTGATCTGTTCATACTTGTTCTGGCACCTTGTGGATCCGTTTCACACCCCAGTCTAAGCCATTTAGGTCTGTTGACGCCTCTCCCTCCTCTTAGCCGCCCGCCCGCCCGTGTCCTCCCTTGGCACTCAGCAGTAATGCTAAAGCTCTGGGCACCAGCCACGCAGTCTCAGCTTCCTCCCTTCCTCCTTCCTTCCTTCTTCCTTCCTTCCTTTTTTAAAATTTATTTTCTTATTTTTATTACATATACAGTGCTCTGTCTGCATATTTGCCTGCAGGCCAGAAGAGGGCACCAGATCTCATTACAGATGGTTTTGAGCCACCATGTGGTTGCTGGGAATTGAACTCAGGACCTCTGGAAGAGCAGTCAGTGCTCTTAACCTCTGAGCCATCTCTCCAGCCCCAATTGCAATTTTTAAAAGATGTATTTATTTTTATTTTGTGTGTATGGGTGTTTTGACTCCTTGAACATCTGTGCACCATGTGTGTGCAGTGCCCAAGGAGGCCAGAAGAGGGCATCAGATCCCCTGGAACTGGAATCACAGACAGTTGTGAGCTGCCAAATGGGTGCTAGGACTTGAACCTGGGTTCTCTGGAGGAGCAGCCAGTGCTCTTAACCACTCTGCCATTCTCTAGCCCCACAAATGGTTTTTATTATTATTATTGGGGGGGGCGTTTCGAGACAGTGTTTCTCTGTATAACATTCATGGCTGTCCCAGAACCCCCTCTGTAGACCAGGCTGGCCTTGAACTCACTGAGATCTGCCTGACTCTGCCTCCTAAGAGATGGGACTGAAGGCGTGCACCAGCACTGTCCGACATTCTTAATTAAAAATTTACTCTTGTGTTATATGTGTGTCCCCATGTGTGTGCAAGGGAAACTAGAAGAGGCCACAGAATCTCCTGGAGTTAGAGTTATAGGCAGTTGTCAGCTGTGCCACAGGGGGGTGCAGGGAACCAACCTCTGGTCCTTGCCAAAAGCAGCAAGAGCTTGTAACAACTGAGCCATCTCTCCCGCCCCTGTAAAGGTCTAAGTGGCGCACGCACAATGGCGTATGCGTTATTCTACCCTGGAAAACAGCATTTGCTGTAAGCCTCCCTCATGTCTCATGGGTGTCTCTGGGATGCTTGTTTTATATTATTTCGGGTGTTGTTGCTGTTTCTGGTTATTGGTTGTGCCAGCAACAGGACTCCACACCCCCAGGAGCCACAAGCCCAGCTGTCGTCCTGATACTGAGGCTTCCATTTCCTGCTCTCTTTCCTGATAGATGTGTACTTTTTGCTGGGTGTGGTAGCAGGTAGATTATAATTCCAGCACCTGGGAGGTTTGAGGCCGGCTGGGCAGGGCTACATCCTTGTTTTGTGTCAAACAAAGGAAAAGAGCCACCGAGATGGCTTAGCCAGTAAAGGCGCTTGCCGCCAAGCCTGACTACCTGAGTTCGATACTGGGACCCACATGATGGAAGGAGAGAACCAAGTCCTTTTTAGTTTATTTTTTATGTTTAGGTTTTGCCTGCATGAGTGTATGTGCATCATAGGCACACAGAAAAGGGAGTAGGAGCCAGGCGGTGGTGGTGCACACCTTTAATCCCAGCACTTGGGAGGCAGAGAGAGAGAGAGAGAGAGAGAGAGAGAGAGAGAGAGAGAGAGAGAGAGAGAGAGAGAGAGAG